CCGCGCCGCCTCCGCCCCCAGCAGCACCAGTTGTGTGTTTGTGTGCCCGTGTGGGCTCTGTGCACACCTGTGCAGGTGAACCCGCTCCGCGCCGACGGTGCCAGGGCTGGCCCGTGTGCCCGGACAGCACAGCTCCTGCGGCCAGGAAGCACACACAGGTGTCCCCGCTGAGCTGCCCCTCGTGCCCTGCTGTTACACCTCTGAGCCAGGTGGGTACAGACCCACCCGTGTGTGTACACGGCACCTGGGACAGGTCTGCGGGGCACAGTCCTGGGGAGCTAATCCCCCTCTCAGCCTTCTTGCATTGTGTCGTTTTATATAATTTCCTGCTTTCCGTGGTACGTAACGTGTGTTTAAAACTTGGTGTAACAGCTACAAACTGTGTACTTTTGGGCTTAATTAGCTATACTTTGAGATAGATCAAATGCCAACAAAGCCCCCGTAGATTTTAATGCTCTCACTGTGCAATATGTCCCTTTTTGGGGGAAGGCAAACAGAATGTGGCAGTAATGATCAAGTACTGCGTTTGGGGCTAAAAACTGCTCCTGCCACTCATGCTGAGTAGGTGTTCCCTTTGAGAATAGCACTCTGATCACACTTGGATGGGAACACTGAACAGTGACACGCAGTTCACACAGACCCTTGGGTGCAAGATCACAGCTAGGACACGGAGATTACCTTGATGGGCGTGTACCACTTCTGCTGCATGGCTGGTGAGGTAGGCTTTGGTTTCGGTGCTTTAGGGTGGAAAGGTTCTTCTGGCTCTTCTGGCAGTTTCACCACGGCATTCTTGGCTTTTTCCAGCCTGGCACCTTCCTCCGTGGAGCCCTTGTCGCCCCAGCGCACCTGGGGACAGGCAGAGGAGGGGTGAGGGCACCGCGGGCACCGCGGCCGCGCGCGCCGGCAGGACCTGAGCACGGACGCTATGGAAGAAGCTCTGGATAAACAAGAGGGAGGTACTGAGGAAAACGTTCCCTCTTCGTTTGTGATGACAAATGTTCTTGGTTAAATATGTTTGTAAATGAGTCTCTCAGCAGCGAAAAGTCAAGAAGGAATACTGAAAGAAAATTTCCCCATGCCTCACACAGGCTGCACAGGAGACAGGGAATCTGGGAGATCTCTGAGCGTGATGTGAAAATACCATTTCCTGTTCTGATTTATCCCACACCACCAGGCCTTAATCTGGCACTGGGGAGAGGTTCCTGCTGCCCAGGTTTGCTGGCCTAGCATGTCCATGCAGAGCCCCAGTGCAGGTTGAAGGGGATGCTTGGGCAGGTTTGAGCAGAAGCTCCTGGAACCTGCTCAGGCTTCCACACAGCAGGGAAAACTAGAGTCTGACCTGTGTTGTGAGCACATGGAGAGCACATAGCAATGTGTATTTTAATCACTGCTACAAGTATATGAAATACATCCCAAGAGTTCAGAGGGAAGGAAACCCGCACTGCTGCTGCTGGGGATGCAGCCAGGTATTCCTGCTTGCATCAGGGCTGTGCTCGCTGGGCTGTGCACAGGGAACAGAGGGAATGCCTTCCCTCCCAGAGAGATGGTGTGTCTTGCTGCAGGAATCCTTGCACTTGGTTGCTGGCAGCGCCATGCAGCAGCCTGAGCTGTTTGCTGTGTGGCACAGCCAGGGCTGTTCCCTTCTCAGCCCATGAGGAACGTCCAAAAGCTGTGGCTGGAGTTCCTAAGTCCCAGCTGACACTGGGCTGGATCATTCCAGCAAGACTTTCTATAATCATGCCATTTGCTAGGATCTGGCCTGCAAGGAGGACCTTACACACCTGTGTCCTTCACTGTGATCAATGGTGCTTTTCAGAGGTTGTTAGAATATGTTTGAAACACTTTCAAACCATTTAGAGGTATTTGGTGGATCCCTTACTGGCCAAATGACCTTGACATAAAAACGTGCTGCCTGTAACGGGTGGAGTCTGGCAAAGGCATTACAAAACTTCAAAGCAGTGCCAAAAGACAGAGCTGGGAAGAGTGAGCAGCACTGCCAGGTTATTTGGGACTGCCACAGAAGGGTGAGGCTGGTGGGGCAGGCAGGAGTGGATGGGAAACTGCCCGAGTGGTGAGGAGAAGGGTGCTGGCTCATCCCCTCCTTTTCTCCACACAGGGAAGCTGCCAGAGGAATGGCAAAAGAACTGAGGACAGAGAAGCAATAAAAGCCAGACAACTGCACTGCCACACAGGCTGCAAACGGAAGAAATGCCATGACTAGTCCAGCAAGTTCATCACTGGCCATGGCACAGAAACCACCTCTACCTGCCAGGTAAGGAACAACCTCCGTCCAAGTGTGTTTTCTCTGTCTCTGCACATGCTCTGCCTTGACTCCCCAGATGAGCAGAGTGCTTTCCTGAGCCAGGAGGAGGTGTGAGCCTGTCCTGCTTTCCAAACAGCCTGAGCTGAGCCCATTCCCCCAGCCCCAGCACAGACACTGCAGGGTAGAGGTGAAGCTCCCAGTCAGACCCCGAGTCACTGACTGTGCCCACCCCAAGCTCGTCAGAGAGGGACAGAGCCACAGCCCCACACACTGGGGGCTCCCAGAGAGCGACAGAGCCACAGCCCCACACACTGGGGACTCCCAGAGAGGGACAGAGCCACAGCCCCATGCACTGGGGACTCCCAGAGAGGGACAGAGCCACAGCCCACACACTGGGGGCTCCCAGGGGCCCCACAGCCACAGCCCCACGCACTGGGGGCTCCCAGGGACTGTGACTGCTGGCAGCAGTTACAGCTGGTTTCCATCTTTAGCCCTTAGTGCAGCACAGAACTCCTACCACAGACGAAGAGGTTTTCTAATCATCACATTCTGCTCGTCTGTGTCTTTGCCATGGGTTGGACATGCATTTCTTGGTGGCCCTGATGCCACTTGTGTGCATGAGGTATCTGTCAGTTTCTGTTCCATCGTGTGAGATCCCAGTTACAGACTGGAACGGTTTAACCCTGGAACCCTTCCTGGAAGCTCATCATGGCTCCCCTCAGAAATCCAGGCATGTAATCCTGGATGTTGGAAAGCATTTCCTCGTTTGCTTCTGAACAGCACTGCACAAAATGTTTTCTTTTTGTGAAATCTGAAGCTCTTCTAAATTAGCAATTCTGAGCTGCTGAAGGAAATGCATATAAGCAACACAGCTTCAAACCTGCGTGTTCTGCTGCTGTGTTCAACAAGAACTCGAGCAGAGCTGCTTCCCAGGCCAGTACCTTCAAGGTTTCACTGAGACACCTCGGTCTGGCCCAGGTGGGTGTTTCAGACACAGCCAGCCTCCTAGATTGCAGATAAGAACTGCTCACACGTTCCATAAAGGCTGACTTGACTACAAAACCTGCCATAAGGATGTGCCCATAAGGATGCACATTCTTCATTCTGTTTTAATTAACATGATGCTATCATGTCTCTTCAAAGACAGGCACTGTTGTCGCTGCAAGTCCCTCTGGGATCAAGCCTCTCCTCAGCGTCACCATTGTCAGCGCATTTGGCTGGCCCACACTTGGGGCACTTATGTTTCGCTGTAATTTCTTCCAAAACATGCAGAAAAGGCTCTCACTCTCTCTTTCTCATTAGCTTGATGGAAAGAGCATGTCTTGAGGCAGCTATTTAAAGCCCCAGTCAAATGGAACTACTGAAAGCTGTTCTTTCAGAGGCAAGGTCAGAGTCCTTCGATAGGGCAGAGAATGTTCCAAGGCTCATGCCAGTGGGAGGACAGGCACACATTATGGCCTTGCCTTCCAGTGCCCTTTGGGTCTGTGCTGCCCCCTTGGCAGCCTCAGAGAGCTTGTGTTTGGGGGGGTCATACCCACCTCCATCCTCTTAATTCCCCCAACTCCTCGTCCTCCATAGTAGGAAGCATCCACCGTGGGCCACCTCTTGGTCGGCAAGGGCTCCTGTTCTTCTTCCTGTCAGTGCATTCAGATGAAACTTGCTTTAAACAGATACTTCCCCACACACACTAAATGTCTTTTCAGTACATTTCATTGCAGCTCACAGAGAGTAAGCCTACCCACGTTGGGTGTGGAAGGGGCACTGAGGACACAGGCAGAGCCTCCAGCGTACTGCTGCTTCTAAGTTGGAGAGAAATTCCCTTGTAAGGGTTCTCAGTGGCTGGAGGGCAGAGCTGGGGAAAATGCTGCTTGAGTCCTACATGTATCTCCAGATGCCATACAAGAGCTATTCAGTCTCTGCTTTCACTGTAGAGTGGGTGAAACAATGCCCAACTATCTGGGGATAAAGGCCCTAAATGTTTCTGTGGATCTGGGCCTAACTCGGGCTGAGACAGAGCAGAGATCTGGACTTTGGCCACCCTGCTCTCAGCTAAAGGCTTCCCCAGGGCTGTCCTTCCTCCCGTGGCACCCGGGCAAGGAGCTGGGCAAGGAGCTGGACTCGCAGGGAGGCACAGGAGTGAGCAGTGAGGGGAGAGGAGCACCCTCAGACCATACCTCTTTCGGGGCGGGCGGCGGAGATGGAGGGGGATCCTTGATGACCTGAAAGAGCCAAACACAGAGGAGCATGAGGAACTGCACTGGCAGCAGCCGAAGGAACAGGAGTCGGTCGGGAACTGCTTCCAGCTGAGCCCCCACGTGTGGGGTCCCCTGGGCACCATTGCCAGCCCTGCCCAGACGCTGCCAGCAGACA